TTTTGTGCATGGTGAGAGGAGGGGATTCAGTTTCATTTTGTTGCATATGGATTTCCAGTTTTCCCAATACCATTTGTTGAAAATGCTATCCTTCCTCCATTGCATGCTTTTAGCCCCTTTATCGAATATAAGGAATCTGGTAATTTTGATGCCAGGTATCCCCAGCCACACTTTACCAAGTGCTATCACATTGTACTAGATTATATTTGTTTCTTGGTTGCTCTCCCTCCCTGAGTGTTGCTTTATGTATAGAAGCAGTGTTTTAATCACCTGGGAACCTAAATATAGATCTCCTAGCCCTACCCCAGATCTTGTGAATTAGAACTTCCAGGGATGGATCTTGGAAATCTATATTTTTAAAAAACTCCTGCAGTGTCTCAGAGGTATCTCATCTTCCCACTAATCTTTAAGAACCCTGACTGGTTTTAGAGACTCCATGAAGCATAAGGAGGTTGTGAACTCAAGTGCAGGTAGTTTTTGTTTTATTTTGGTTTTTCTGTTATTTTAGGCTAGATTTTTGCTCCATCCCCCATTAATGTAACAGGTTCTATTCATAACTGGTATTCAGTCAGTCACTGTGGAATGAGAACTCCTAGGTTTATCCCCAGTTTTAACGTGCTTTTGTGCCTTGAATGTTGACCATCATTTCCAGCTACATTTCAGACCAGCTCACTCTCTGAATAAAAGGCCAGAAGTGTGTCTTAAGTTTCCCAGCTCATTCTGCTGGGGACTTGCTTTGTAATCCTTTTTGTCCAGGAATTTAAAATGTTTCCCTGGTCAGACCCTACAGAATGGGGCGGGGTGGAGGGGGGGAGTGTGGGGGGGTGCTATTGAAGCCAGATTTAAAATTAGGTAGTCAGTGTAGTTAGGTAAATCGGGTCTAATATCATATGGAGTGAAATTTAAAATGGAGGCCATGCTGATAATGATTCTGGAAACAGAACAACTCATGGAATGTTAATGAAGTCCCAGAAAAGCCCTAGGCCAAAGTCCACCCCAAAGAAATGTTAATGGAACCCAGGAAATAGCCCCCAACAGATTTGGGGATAGCCCATCCCAAAGAAGTGATAATGAAGTCCTTCCTGCCCAGATTACTTGTTTGGCCCACCTGTGTCCCAACCCTTCCCCCTTACATTCCATCACCAAAACTGTAAAAAGGGGAACACATTCGCCCTTCAAGGATTCCACCTCTTGGGTCCCCTTCTTCCTCCGGGAGAAGTCTTTTCTGCTGTTCTTTAATAAACTTCTAATTTCTACTCTGTCTTTGCCTCGGCATGCTTCTCTGGTGTTATTCTTCAACATTGGGGAAGCAAGGACTCGTCACCGGCCAACAGAGGTAACACTATCACTCATCATCATAATCTCACACCTAACTCAGCCTTCCCCTTGGATCTGTGCTGCGGCACATGTGCTTCGACTGCCTTTAACCCTGAGGAGCATTCAGTGGTCTCTAAGAGCATCCTCAGGCATGAAGAAAAGGCCTGGCCCCTTGCTCTGAGGCCTGCCTGGTATGCTCAAGTTGCTGAGGAAGGGTATCTTTCTGGGGCCAGTGGCCTTGTCCTACTTCTGTTTTGACACTCTTTACAGATAGAAAGTTTTAAATTTGAAATCTTCAAAGTATTACAGATATTAAAATGAGGGTAGGATAGAGGTTGTGCGGGTGGCTAGGAATGGCATATACCAAGGAGTGATATTTGTGGAACTTGATTTGTTGGCCTAGACTAAGAGGAGTAGCTTCCAGGTTGTAAAGAATCATTTATGAAGGCCCCAAGAGATCCCCTTGGTTAATATGTTTTTTAAATACCTGAGCTTCCATGGGGTGTTCACTCTGGACTTTGGTAGCTATCTTTAAAAATGTTGGGTTTGCCTGTAGTTCTTTCAGAAGATGATAGGATCATTATTCACACAGAATCTGAAAGTAGTGCTGTCATCCATGGAAGCCCTGGAGGCTCTTGCAATCTTCTCAGCAAGCACTATAGATTTACACCTTAGAGTTTGCCTCTGGATAAGCCTTGACTTCATTTTGATGCCAGATGTGAGAAGCATTAATAATCAGGATGAATTCCTTTGGGAAATTCTATTCCCAGGTGATAGCTGCTTCCTTAGGAATATTGGGGGGGGGGGGCAGAGGCTGTGATTTAGTGACAAAGAGGAGTGAATTGACCCTAGAAATGTAAGGATAAGAGATTTCTAATGAGGTCTGACAGTTCAAGGGCTGAATAAGGAGGCTAATCTTTTTTTTTTTTTCCTGCCCACCCAGTCTTCACACAAATGTAAATATGCCTCCTTCAACAAATTGGCAAATGTGGTTTTAATTTATAAGCAAGAGACCTGCCTTGCCTTTCTCTTCCTCCTCTTTTTTTCTTTTCTAAACTAAGTCACAGGTTTTGCACTTTTTAAACTGGTCTGTCACCTTTTCTGTTGTTCATTTTCTTCCAAGAACATTTTCCCCCATTATTGTCAGAGGAATTTGGGATGAGAGCCGACTGCTGTTTCTTAAAGAAGTTTTTGAAGTTCCAGAGGAAATACATGGTGCTCTTTCAACTGAATTTTTGAAACAAATAAGTAAAGACAGTGATTGAATCAAGTGGGAGACTTGAAGAGCGCGTCCCTATCTAGGCACCTACTTCATGTGGTCTGCGCAGAATCCATTGTTGTTATTTATGACCTTGTCTGCCTTCCATTGTGGACTTCTTCCAGCCTTGGGGAATTTACATCATTCCTAATAGCAAAAGGCTTTCTGGTTCCCACAGAGTTGTTCAAAGCCTGACTCATGCTCCTTATGTTAATTGTTCAGCTCTGAAAATACAGCACTTACAGGGTGTGGTTATAAGGGGGAAATCTACTGTACTTATAGGGCATGTTTAGAAGTGTTTCACACATAAATCTCTATTGCTCCCAATCTCTTGTCAAAGTTAAAGTGTCTCTCTAGCTCCCTTCCCCCACCAACTCTGATTTAACTTTTAATTCCCCCACACACACACTCTCTATCAACTATTAAATTACAGAACAGACAACCAAAAAGGAAATGCATCAAAATGCAGTATAATCCAATGAAGCCTTTAATACTCTGTTCACTAACTATTAAAACTAGATATGACTGAGTGACATCTGCCTGGGCCTAAAGTCATCAGCACTTTTGGCAAGTAAATGTTTCTGGTAACTCAGTGGTATGGACAGTGACTGGGTAAAGCCCATCACATCCACTTGGAGAATACCCAGGCTTAATACTAATGGCTGCCTTCTCCCAGGGTCCCTGGGCTGTCACTGCTAATTCCCATGTAAGCCTAAATAAAGCAAAGACTTTTTTGATAATCAACTAAAACAATTCTTTGTGGAAGGAACATTTTTCTGGAATTTTCATGGGGAAGAATACTTAGTGTCCCAGAAAAAGAGACATTAACACCTTGTCTGGCTTATCTACTTGCATACAAAGGTCAGTGTTGGCAAAAGTTGAGAAACTTTTACAATTGTGTCCTTATGATGTTTCCATTGGTATGTGAAATAGTAGGCTGATAATCTCTTCATTATTAAAAAAAAAAAAATAAAGACTACAATAGTAGTTAGAATAAGAGGGAAATTCCTGGGTTTTTTAGTAGCTAAGAATAACAAACTCTAGTTTTGAAGCTACCAATATTAAAAAGCTCAACTCTTGAAATAGTCTTGAGGGTTACAAAGGAAATAGGTAATATTTCTATTTTTTTATTGGAGCATTACACTTATACACAATATTTATATTTCTGCAAATAGAGAAAATGTGGGGAATTCTCAGAATTACCAGGGTACTGCACACCGTACCACCAAGTCTTCTCAAAAACTTGCTGCAGCCTGGCTCATTGATTCTGGGCTTTTGTCACAATTTGGACCAGAGAGAGATTAGATATTGGCCAAGAGTTACCGATGGCTTGTAATCAACATCCTTTACATGACAGTTTTCTGTGTTTGTGGTACATATTAATGCATGAAATGTGTAGACTGGGAGTCCAAAAGAAGTTGTAATTTACCAGAAAGTCCTAGATTTAAAAAAAGAAAAAAAGTTAAAATAGCCTGTAACACTAAGCAGTTTCATTTAGTCTTTACAAAAATAAATCTGTTCATCTGGGCATTCAGAGTGTAACTGTTTTCTCTCATATTCAGCTAATAGATTTCTGGTTGAACCTTTGTTATCTTTTGGAATAGACAGAAAGAGCTCTCCACGGAGTGTCTGATTATTTTGCTGAGTGTGCGGAGAGTCCACTTCCTCCCAGCGCAAAGCTCAAGAGAAATGCTCTGAAACAAATGTAGGTCCAGCATGTTTCATTTTTCTTATTTGTGACTGCCTGTATGGATGGATGGATAATGTGAAATATGGAATTAAACAAGGAGGCCTGGAGTGTGGAGACCAAAGCTTGGCTGGCACTGATCTTGCCCTGGGTCTCACACTTGCCCTTCCCACCCTCTTGACACTATTTTCTTTGCTCTCTGGACAGTGGGGGTAGAGTCCTTGTTTCATAAGTGTGTTGCAAGGAGTAATTAATTGCAAGCTCTTTGAAGATGAAAAGCACCTGCTGGTGGTGTGTTTCATATAACTTTCAGGGTGACTACAGACAGTCCTTAAAAAATACATTTCTTTTCTAAGAAGCTTGTTCTAACTTTAATATAATGATAGTAATCCTTGTTATTATATGTTATTATATATATGAAATATATATATATGTATATATGTTTGTATATACACACAAACACACACATACATTATTCTACCCTAAAGCTTAGTCAGAATACATATCTGAGCTCCAGTGTTTTGACTTTCATTGTTAAGGAAATTTCTTGCCACTCACAGATTTCTTGCCATACTTCTTGCTAAAGATAAGGTCTTCAGTCTCTAAATTTTCCTCACGCAGTTTCTGTCCTGCCCCTCAAATTTTTACAGTCGGAATGAAGTTTACCTTGTCTACTGAGTATTCTGTAGAGAAAGGAGTTAGATTTGCATTCCTCTCTCATGCTGGCTGTCTGAAATTTTTTTCAAGTGCTGTTAACTGAGTCTGATTCTTGTATGGTTAATGAACAATCATGACACCAGCTAAATGGTAGTTATATTTGAATAATACCTTGAAATGGCCTGAGAATAATTTGAGAAAATTTTACTCACAAACTGAGTAAACTTTTTTTTACTCACAAATTAAATTGTGTGTATGCATATTTGTTCATAGGTACACTTGCATAGCATAAGCTTTGGGTATATTTGAGCATCAACTCCTACAAAAAAAAATCAATGCATCATACATAGGCAATATTTACTCTTAATATCATTGAAATGAATACCTGTTTGCCTTAGTTAAAGAGAACTCCATTGATGAAACAGATCAAAAAGCATAACATAACCTAGTATAATGAAAAATGTAGAGATCATTGCTTAACACACTCTTAGGGATTTTTCTAGGTTTCCTGGGGAGACGGGGAGAAGGAAGGTAGCACATAACCACTGGTTGCAGGTGAGGGAATGTGAGGGAGGGGGAATTTGAAGAAAACTGTGCCATTATAGCTTTACACAGTGTAAAATCTTTGTTGTTGTTGTTGTTTTAGTGCGAAAAGAACAAAAACAAAAAGTAACATCAAGAGCAAATCACAGACCAGCAGAGACATTGTGGGAACATCTAGTGACTCAGTGACTGCGGAGGTAGCAAGGAGGAGGGATGATGGTCAGGCCTCATCAGAATCCACAGGACAAGCAAAGGATTACATAAAGGCAGCTGAGTGCCACCAGAGGCTTCCTGTTCAAAAGCTGGAAAATGTTAATCAGACCCAGCCAGAAGACACTAGCAGCCAGCATAAACCTCATCCTGGGGAGCGGTCAAAGACAGGGCTTCTAAGCGGGAGCCCTGTCTATAGCTGTGAGTCAGCATCACCAGGTCCAAAGCAAAGTCCAGGAGTAGCCAAAACACAACAGAAACGCAGGAACTGCAGCTCTGCGGAAGACTTCGACCACCACAAGAGAGTTTCTCTTGGAAGTGATCGATTAGTCCCAGGAGAAATAATACTGGAGAAAAGCACAGCTGTCAATGTTTTGCCAATTTTAGAGTTGTCAGATCCGGGGTTACTTTTGAAACAAGATTTGGCAAAAACCATGTCTAAGGAAGAATTGCATGTTTTGGAAAATCTCCCCTCCAGACATCTTATAAAAAATAACCCAAGGCAGGCACAGCAAACTGGCTCAGCCAAAAACACTGAAAGATCATCTGCAATTCAAGGCAGCCCAACCAAGAAAAGAAAGAAATTGCAAAGGATTGCAAAGTCATAGTTGAGGATAATAGTAGCCAAATATGTGACAAGAGCGCCAACATGTATAGATGCTGAGACTTAAAAGGAATTTGTTAGAAAGATTTTGTTTGTTTGTTTCTATCTTTATCACAATATTGGAGATTAAATCTAGGGTTTCGTACATGCCAGGAAAATCCTCTACCAATGAGCTGCATCCTCAGCCTTGCAAATAGCTGGGATTATGGGCATGTACCACCACGCCTGGCAAAATGATTATTTTAAATAAAACAGTACATATCCACATTGGGGTTTGCTTTCCAGCAGTCGCCTTCAGGAGGCTATCTGATTATTCTAATAATGCTATCTTTTCATCAGACTTTATAACTGTCTTCAGAAATTTTATTGATAAAGAGCCATCCACCTTGGTGGAGAGGAGACTATTTGTGCAAGGACTGCATGAAGAAACCAGTCACATGTTCCTCCTTGACATTACCAGGCAGACCTCATGATGGGACACATGAAGACAGTGCCTCGTGCTATAGTTAAGTTCTAGGGGTACAGTGCATCCTCCTGCTCCTCAGCTTCAGAAGGGGGCAGTGAAAGGAAAAGCCAATGGTTCTAAACTACTGGGACCAGCATCATTGGAAACATGAATTAGAAATGTGGGTGTCATGCCCCACCCCAGACCTATAGAATGAGAAGCTCTTGGTGACTCTAAAATATGCCGAAGCCTGAGAACCACTGGACTGATTGAAGTCTCCTTCATGTTTATTTCCTCCAGCCTGACTCCCATGGCCTCCAGCTCATCAGCTGGGGCCACGTGTGGACATGTACACCCTCATATTCCCTCAAACTTATAAAACACCTGGGTTCAGTGCATGAGTCACTCTGTTCCCAGATTCTACAGTATGACAGCCACAGCATCCAGGGAGCTGTTACTTACGCTTATAATTGCCGGAAGTTTACGGATAATTTATCCCAGCATTAGAGGAAGAAATGGGAGAGGCTTGCTCTTACTTGTAGCTCAGGCCTATCCCTGTCCCTGCCCTTTCTTCCACCTCTAAGATTTTGGTTAGGTTCAGGACAGACCAGAACCCAAGAGGAAGTCAGTGGCCAGTGTTTAGTTTCCCATTTGGAAGTCTTCGCAGGCAATTTAAGTTTCTTCTCTGGTCTCACAATTTACTCTTAAAAAGATAAGAAGCTTGTGGCTGGGATTGTGGCTCACCTAGCATGTATGAGGCCCTGGGTTCGAACCTCAGCACCACATTTAAAAAATTAATAAATAAAATAAAGGTATTGTGTCGACTACAACTAAAAAAAAATACTTATAAAAAAAAAATAGGAAGCCTAAGAGGAGGTCAACCTCAGAAATATAAGAACCCTAAGAGGTCAACCTGGAAGTTTAATCTGGACTTTACTTGTTCAGTAGAAGATGAAACTTTTGATTCTGGAAATTTTAAACAGTTTCTACAGAAGGTTAAAGTCAGTGGAAAAACAGGACATATCGGGACTATTCACCTTAAACACTTCAAGAATAAAATCACAGTTGTTTCTGAGAAACAGATCTCTGAAAGGTATTTGAAATACATTACCAAAAAGCACCTTATGAAGAAAAATCCTGCTGATAGCAGTGGCACACACCTATAATCCTAGTGACTCAGAGGCTGAGGCAGGAGGATCTCAAGTTCAAGGCCAGCCTCAGCAACTTAAGGAGGCCTTAAGCAACTTAATGTCTCAAAATTAAAAAATAAGAAGGACTGAGAATGTTATTGTGGTAAAGTGCCCCTAGATTCAAGCCCCAGTGCAAAAAAAAAAAAAAAAAAAAAACAGGAAAGAAAAATCTTTGTGATTGGCTTCATGTGATTATACCTGACAAGACTTATAAACTTAGTTACTTCCAGATTAGTCAAAGTCAAGATTAGACAAGATGAGAGTCTGAGATCTAGGTGAAGCCTCTTGTTACAGGGCTTTGGTTCATAATATTAAAGAATGAAGCATTCACTCAATTTCATTCAAAAGTAGGAAAGAAATCTTATTCAAAGACCACCAATGTATCTTTTCCTGCTTACCAACAGGTGTTCCTTTGAAGTAGCATCTCCCTTATATAATAGGGAAAATCAAGAGTATTTCCCAAAGTGTTAAAATTAGCAAAGAAAGCCCAATAAAATAAAATAGCATGTGAGTGCTATTAATGCTCTCCAATTGCAAACTCTCTCTCCCAGTATCTGCTTTTCCCACTTGGATTATATTGAATGAAGCCCACCCAAAGGAAACCATATCTGAGAGCACCATTGTGGGTCATGAAGTTCAGTAATGGTCAGAAAGCCTGGCTGCTGGATGTAGATGCTGTTGCTTTGTTGCTTTGGTGTTACATTGACCTGGAAACCTGTCCCCTTCCTGCACCCCTAAGACCCAACATAGCCCTTCCCACTGTGTCCTTTCTTATTCTTTCCCACCTGTTTCCCTTGTCATAATAGATTCCAATCATAGGTGAAAAGGGAGCCCAACAGAATGCTAATAACCTCAGTGGAGCTGACTCTGTTTATACAGTAGGGTTCGACTCTCAGAATGGAAACTGCCTAAGAAGGTATTTCATTAGTTAACCTGGTTAAGGCCAAACTTAAAATGATTTTCTTTCTAGAAAAGTCTTGGCTTGAGTGTTTATTATATTTGGAGAAAACACAATTCATGTGATCTAATAAGGAAAATAGCAACTTTGTGTTATAGATAGATGTGGTCTTTCTGAGACTTCACACACAATGGGTTCACAGCCCCAGCCCTTTTTATATTTTGAATCTTGCTAAGTTACTGAGGCTGGCCTCTTACTTGTGATCCTCCTACCTCAGCCTCTGCAGTCACTGGGATTAAGGGCATGGGCCACCACACCTGCCTTAAATAACATTTTAATAGGTGTATGTTTTTCCCCTTTAACATTCACAAGCAAGGAAGGTCTGGAAACAATCCAGGTGATTTTTCTTACACACTTTTTTCTCTTTGCCAAGGCAAAGAGAAATATGCATATAATATCTAGACAAATATACATATAATGTGTCAAATACAAAGGAGCAAACATTTGTGGAGAATGGAGTGTGTGCAGCAATTTTTTAGTTCCCTTTTTTTAAATACTCAAGGAGTGTGGAAAGTATTGCATTTTTTAAAAAAAGGCTTTGAGGCTGGGAATATAGCTCAATGGTAGAGGAAGGACTTTTTGTGTGCAAGGCGCAAGATTTGATCCCTGGCATCATACACACACACGTGCACACACACACTCAGAAAACCCCTCTTTATTTTGATTTGTGGAGAATATGGCTTATCTCTGAATGAAATATCCCAAAATATATTCTTGGGACAACAATGGGATCACAGCATAATTGTTTTCTTTTTGCTATCATGTTTAGATTTGGGCATGGACTGTTGTGTATATCGATGGCCTTTGATTTCAGAAAGAGCTTGGTGAGGGCAGGCACATAGGGGAAGGAAATCTCTGCCCAGGAGAATGGCCTGGATTCAGTGTCCCCACTCTGTGTTTCCTTAAGCTCTTTGGCAGGCCCAACTAATATTTCCACAAAACTGTAGCGAGTGGCCCTCCCTTGAAGTAACCAGCTGCTTTCCTAAGAGCCAAAAATTCTCTCTTCAGCGTGCTATGACTTGAATATGGAAATCATCTTAATTTCTTCTTTTTTCTTATGAGGAAATTTCCATGCTTGGTTTGTCAAGACAAGAGAGTTCATTCCTTCATATTGAAACACTAATGAATTGAAACATGTTGAAGCAAGTAAAAAAATCAAAATTAAGCTGGTTTCTCTTAAATAGTTTAAAGCCTTCCTTAGTACAAAATAAATTAAGCATTGTAAAATGAAGTTAATTCAGGTAATTATTCAGTGCAGAAATCTAACCATATATATCATTGGTATTGTAATTTCAGGGTATAATTAAATTATCTGAAATCTGCAGAACTCCCTCTAATTTGGTCTCTATATTTATTTAACAAGACAGGGAACAAATATGTGTCAATATGCAGCATAACAGAGGGAACTTGAATGGCTGAAATTATCTTTAATTATCTAGAGTTACTCAGTACCAGTCTGGAATAAGTTTAATCTTGCAGCCTAATGTTACCATATTTCATATTAGCTTGTAGATGCTATTATAGCTCCTTATCAAAAATTTTGATAACTTAAGCAAAAATCAGTAAAACCATGCATTTGTCCTTTGAAGCATCTGATGGGGTGCCTGCAGGTGTGAATTTGATAGATCCCTAGAATAACTATTCAGTTGAGTTAGAAAGCCAAACACTGCCATAATCACCAGGTGAGCTCTTTTTTCCTATCGGTTTTCTCATTTGTTTTATTCTGAACTGTTTAAATAGTTTGAATAGTTTTCTAGGTGATGAAACTATGTATGTAGTGAAAATGTACCTGTTTTATAAATAAAGATAAAAAATTGTCTTGAAAATTGTAATTTTTTCTTTTCTTTTTTCAAAAATAAGTGAATCCCCAAGGAGTACACATCCAAAATACCCTTTTCTGAACATGTTGAAGTATGTCCTATTGGTAAGAAACATTTTCCTTCTAGAAACAGTTCTTAGGTTTTGAATGCTTTGTTTAAATAGCTCAAAGGAGCCATTTGAACCATTGGTCCTGAAGATTTAGGTATGGAAAACCTAGTGTGATACGATGGAATTAATTGACCCATAAGACTTGGGGGTGATCCTTACAGTGTTTATTTGTTCCTACTTCTGCTTCCCACTGGGAGCTAAGAAAGATCTCTTGGGGGGTGGGGGGTAAAGTTCATGACCTTAACTCCTTTCCAGAAAACGCTGACATTCCCCAAGTGGATTCATTTCCATTTTCTTCAGTGGATCTAGTCCTTATTCAGGACTGATAAAACCCTGGGCCAACTCTTTCCTACATTGCTTTTTATTTTAGTATCCCAGGCTTCTCTGGTGCTGTGCATGACTTCCAGAAGGATTTCAATATCAGTTGGAAGAATACACCTATATAGATGGGCCTGGAATGCTAAGAATGGCTACAAATGATGAAGCATAGTCCATTTCTCCTTAGCATTTTGGTAATAACGATGGCTCACCATGTGGCCTAATCCACAGGAATGATGCCCTGCTTGGGGTATGGAGCTTGGCTCAGGATCTGGCGACTGGATAATAGCATGGTGCTTACAAGCCACAAACCCTGTTTCCTACCTTAGCTGCCACTTTGCCATTAATTGGTTTTATATGTTTGGGGACAAGTCACTTAGCCTTTCAGGCCTCATATTGTTCATCTGTCAAAGTTATCTAATATTTTAAGTGCCACCCACGGCTATTAGAGAACTGAGGTAAACATACCACTCTGATGTATTAATTTCTCCATTTAAAAATGATTCTCTATCCTAGCTTCACATCAAAATCACCTAAGTAGCTTCTGGTTCATTCCAAATCCCTGAGTTTACCCGGCATTGGGATTTTTAAAAGCCCTCAAAGAACGATTCTCATGTGATTCCACAGTTATGAGCTGTCCTTTAGAAAGTGTGCCATGTGCATGTAAATACTGGCTGTTAAAAGAGACAGGTTTGCTCAGAGCTGAGTGTGCATTGACAGAGGGGTTTTCTGCAATGTAACTATACCTACTTACTATATTTTAAAAGAAGAGCAGGAAAGGTTTGGGGGACAAGGTGTCAGTTCATAGACAGACCCTTTAGTCATACAAAGAGTTGCATTTCATTTTCTTCCAAGGCCCCTCTGTATTTGCTCTAAGCATCTGAACATACCATTTTGTCTTGCCAACATTGAGAAATTGTTACCCTCATTCAGAAGGTGAGTTTTTAAAACACCTAAATAATTGTCTGAAATTTTTACATAAACCTCTGGGGTTTGCCTTTGATCCATGATCGTTAATATCATTAATAGGCACTCTAGAAGTGCGTGTGAATCTCAAGTTAGTGTTTGGCAGGCCAGTGGAAGAATGAACGCTTTTAAAATAGTTTGGCTCAGAAAGCACATCTGAAATAACCCTGTGGGAAAATCAGGAGAATTTCTCATCCTCCAAAGGATTACCTAGGATGAGATACTGACCTTGTATTTTAAGTTCAGTTACATTTCTTAAAACCTCATTCATTACTCAGCCTGATTTATTTTAGGGGGTGAAATAGGCTGTGAGGGGGGACTCTACGATGATGTACAGTCCTTCGACTTGCTTTTTGTGGGCTGCACAGCTCCCAAAAGATTTTTATCATTCATATATATATATATATACATATATATATATATATATATATATACTTTTTAAAAAGAAAAAAAGACCAGCCTCTTCATGAGATTTACTACAGCTTCTCTCTGAAATGAGAGCCGAAGACTTCTTTTCAGGCTCTAAGCAATCAAAACCCCAGAAGGCTGAGGGTGTGCAGGGCGAGCAGAGTGCTGACCTCTGCCGGGGGAGAGGTCAGTTCAGCACACAAGACTCAAAAGGGGAGGAAGGAAAAGCAACTCTGCAGCAGGGAGTTTGACTTGCTTTAAGGCAGAAGAGCTTTCATAAATGAGTTCCCAGTCTCCCACGCCCTTTTGCCTGATCTTCTATTAGAAGTCCTGCCTCTGCGCTCACACACACACACACACACACACACACACACACACACACACACACACCCCACAGCTTCTATTTCCACTCCTTGCCTCACACACATTCCTCTCCTTTCTCCCTACCTGCCCCTGGAACTGAGGGTAGACTGGCAGACCCTGCTCCAGAGGAGGCAGGTGGAGGATTGACAGGGAACTTTTCTAGGCCCAGTGGCTCTGAAGCCTTTTCAGTTCCTCCTTCACATGCTTGGCTGGTGAGAAGAACACAGAAGGCTCTTTCCCAAACCCACTGTGGGTGCCTGGGAGGGGTCATACTGGCTCATCCATCCCTGTTGTCAGAGAGAGAGAAGGTGGGATGGTAAATCAGAGCGACCTCCAGCCAGGATGTGGGAGCCTGGGCTGGGCGTTTGGGATGTGTCCCAGGAGGAGGAGCCTGGAAAAGCCTTCCTGTAAGGATGCCAAAGGCTTGTGAAACAGCAGCATGGCTTTATTTGTATATTCTCCTTAAAATGCCGCCCTAGCCAGCCTTTTCCCAGTGCCGCTTTTCTCAGCGGGGTGACCATTTAGAAACAGTGGAGACCACAGGGGCAGATCCCGGGGCATTTGGGTAAATGCTGGCCAGAGAGGAGTGTCAACCTGAAAACACTTCTGGAAACCAGGGCTGTCTGCAGAGATGCAGGGGTCAGTCCTGAAATTGGGGTTCTTGCTTTGATGCTAAGAATCTCTAGCTGGAGGAATGATTTAGATCTCACCTAAAATCTCTGTAAAGGCTCAAAGACAAGCAGACTCTCCATCCATCTCTGAGTTTTCTGGGGGCTGGTATATCAAACCTCATATTCTTCTGGACTTTGGTTGTAGAAAGAACTTTGGCTCTTGTTTTGCATGTTTGTCAGGTCTAATTTCAGGCCCAAATAATATTTTAATAAAGATAGCTGAACTTGAGAGAAACCTTAACTTTCTGCCAGCTTCTGTATATGATGGCTTAGGCCAGCCGCCCACCACTTGACAGCAATCCTAGGAGAAAGTAGGTAAATAGAAAAGAGAGTTGGGCTTGACATTCAGCCCCTTCTTGGTTCAGAAGCAATGGTCATTGCACAGTGAAGACAGCCAAGGAGGGAAATTCCTTGTAGGGAAAGGCTCCCATGGGAAATACTTTACAAAGTATTTTTGAAATGCCTAACCCACTGAAAACCTCATCAAGAAAACCGGAGTCAAGGGCTGGAGTTGTAATTCATTGCTTGCCTTGCACTTGCATGAGGTGCTGAGTTCTACCACAAAAAGACAAAAAAGAAAATACCAAAGTCAAACATCATCATGTTGTTTCATAAGAATAGAAAACGGGTTCAAGACTATGTCCTGAATTCCTGCAAAGCCAGACACCTGAGCTTACCTCATTTGGCATTAATTTTACATTACAGTGGCTGGGGGGTGGGGAGAAAGAAAGAACAGTGTTCTCATTCTCATTATTTGCAGGCTATAGTCCCGCTATCTACACTCGCAGACCACACACTGTTGTGGAATTTAATTGGACACCAAGTCCCCCCCCCCTTCCGCCCCCAGTTCTTTAGTTCATTCTTGTCTTGAATGAGCTTTTTTTTTTTTTTTTTTTCCTGCTACACTGGTAGCAAGCACTGAATTGATCAAGAAAAAAGCCGACAATTTGTATAGTCACAAGCAAATATAGCATCTACACGTGACATGGGCTGGTACAATTCCCTTTGTAGGAGGCCTGTAATGGTGGTCTATCACTGAGCAACAAATTACCATAAACCAAATGGCTTAAAACACACACGTTTATTAACTCATGGCTTATGACATTTTTAGCTGGGTTCTCTGCTCCAGAACTCATAGGCTAAAATCAGGATGTCAACCAGGCTTCCGTCTCCTCTGCAGTCTCCAATAGAGAAAGACCTGCCCAAGATTCCTTGTATTATTAGCAGAACTCAGTGTTGTACACTTGTAGGACTAAATTGTCTTGCTGGCTCTAGACCAGGGATTTCCTAGAAGCCATGTTCAGGTCCTTGCCACATGGACTCCATTTCATTCATGGAGAAAACTGCATTGTCTTGAATCTCTTTCACACCTTGAATCTTCTGATTTCTGAGACCAAAGAAAACTCTGTTTTTGAAAACCTCCTGCGCTTAGACACCTCCAACTGACTAAGCTGTATTTGAAGACCTATTGATTTGGGATTTGGGACTTGGGATTTATAAAACCCCTTTACTGAGGTACTTGGATTAGTATTTGAATAACCAGGGGCCAGGAATCTTTAACAGGGCCTTACTTAGTTATTGAGGCTAGTCTTGAACTTGAAATCCACCTGCTTCAGCTTCCCAAGCCACTGGGATTTCAAGTGTGCACTATTGTGCCTAGCAGAGGCCCAGTATAATGGCGAGAAAGTAGACTGTCATTGGAATCTAGAGACTTCCTTAATCTTTTAATGGACTCTTGTATCACAGGCTGCTTAGAGAAAACTAATAGCAATTTTCTTTCATCTTCTTACATCCCTTTTCATGAATACTAACAGAGGCACATGTTTGTTTTTCACCACTACAGATAAGGAAACTGAGGCACAAAGAATTTTGGAAAATTTACCAGTAAGTAGCAGAGGCCCCAGAATCCAGGCCTGTCCAAACTCAAAGCCCAGAAACTGTTGTCAAGCTGCAATTTCTGGAGAAAATTCCAAAGTAGGAATTGGGAAGGAAGAGCTGTAATAGGAATCCAGGAGGTCTGGCATGACCCTGCCCACTGGGCATACAGTTTGGCTGTGCACACCAAAAAGGTGAAAGAAACTGTCAAGCAACAAGTTAGGCCCACATGGAGGCAGAACACTGGAGGAAATGCACACAACTTCTTTTGTAACTGCATGACGGTCAAGACCACA